AAATATATAGAAGGAACATATGATATCTCAACACCTCTCTCCCTTAAAGCTAACTGTGAAAATCAAAATGATGCTAATCAAAATAATGATGTTTATAATGATTTAAATGGTTTGATCTTCATAGTTGTGAAAGGTTAGATGGAGTTTTGTTGATCTTATACACGTAAGTTTTTTTAGTAACAAAAACTAATTGTGTTTGCGCTTATAAATGTTGCAGAATCTTGTGTAGTTGCAAGGAAAGAACATAGAGCGCAATCTCAAGATTAAAAAAAGTTGAATTGCAGGGAACAAGCATAAGAAAGATCATTTGCGAATGTGTCGAAGGAACATACGATATCGCAACACCATTGTCTCTTAAAGCAACAGAAGAAGATAGAGTGGACAACACATGTATTACGTTACGTTTTTTTTTTTTTAATAATTAAATTGGTTGGAACTTCAGGAAAATATGTTCTGAATTTTATTTTTTTCACACCAAACATAAGGACAATGTATCCTGAAGTTTAGGTCTTGCTGTTCAAACTAATGTATATGTAGTTTTCTTGTTGATAGGGCAAAGTGGAGGATAATCTTCCTTAACTCCTACCTTGCTCAAGTATATTATTTTTTATTTAGAACCATGCACTATCCATCCCAGAAAAAAAAACCATGCATTGTCAAATAAGGGAAAATGAAAGCTCACAAGTCTGATGAAAAGTTGCAACATGGCAGTGACACATCTAAACCATTGCTTTACCTATAAATCAGAAACTTAAAACAATTCATTAACTCATAAGAATAACGTTATTAGGATAGCGTTCTAGGCTGCTCACCTAGTAAAGCATTCTTGCACATTCATTATCTACTCATGAGTAGCAGTCCAAGAGTGTACCATTAAAAAATTATAAACCATACAAAAGCAAAAAATTAATGAAAATTTACTATTGGTAGAGAAACTTCTGTGGTTTTTTTTGGAAAAATTTACTTTTGTTTTGGAGAAACCAGAGGAGAAAGAAGAAAGCTGAGTGTGGGTTTACTTCTGCTGTAGCGCCTATTATAGGTATGTTCATGTGTATCTTTGTCCGATCGATAATTATTAATTTAACCATTGGCTGAATCTTAAATAATCTTTAAACAGCGGCTGAAGCTTAAATACTGGTGTAATAATTAGCTATTCCTGCATTTCGCCCAAATACTTCTTAGTACCGCCCAACTATAACTTTATAATATGTCATATAATTTTTTCAATACCTAAGTTCAGAAGGCTAATTAAAATATGCAAGTTTAACAGCGATTTACCAATATTTTGTGTATAAATTTACTTACTGTTTCACCTATTGCTTCATTCTATGAGTAAACAACTTCAGTAAATATGTGTTTACACAAAAGACCCATTTTATTCCTTAAGAAGAGCAAGAATCAATTTTATTTTCTACGACCAAAAATGGCGTACAATAACTATATTTCGAACTTGATATCGAAAATATATAAAACTTCAACATGGGCTTCATGCAGACCAAGTTAATGTCAACTATGTTCTGCGTTTTGCTCCACAGTCGATCCTCTCCACAGCAGCAGTTCACCATAAAGGTTAAAATAAATGAAATCCAAAATATGTTTAATATATATCTTCATGTAGTTCAATGATGGTTCATGCTCCTAGTGTTAAAGGCATCTCAAAGAAGAAAATCGCAATATTTATAGGCATTCAAATAGGGTAAAGACTTCCCTATACCTCCAAAACCCATGATTAACTAAAACAAGAACATAAAAACGAGAAGACTTAGGAAATGTACCAACTCTATCCTCCAAGAATTTGAAACATTTTAGGCCTAAAGAAACCATAAGCGAGCAAATTCATCTTCTGAAATAGAAAATATAAGAAACAAATTTTGTTGTTAAAACACATCAAGCTACTGTCCAATCAGAGAAAAGTTAAATGGAGAATTTGCTGACAAGAATGAGCAAAAATGGAGTAGAAAACTATGTCCCACGCTCCCTAGCTCTCATTCAAAAGGCCATTTCCAACTCTCTTAAGTAAAAACTACTGCCAGTTGCTGACCTTAAAAAATGTGACCATTCACCAGATACTTAGTTTCTGCTGCAACGGCAGGTCGAGGTACTGTGGGAACAGAACACGTACACAAGAGAACATCAAATTATAGTATGAATTTAACATGTGTTTTTTTTTATAAGGTAAGATTCTATTAAAAGGTACCAAGATGGTACTAAATTACAAACATCCAAACTAATACAAGGCAACTAGTTTGAATCTGACATGTGCTAATCAAAGCTACAGAATATGAATTTAAATTTCAGAATTGCAAATCAACTCTGTCAGTTAATTTTACCCCAAAAGCTATATCAAAAACAATATATTTGAAGCCAAAATCAAATTTAGCTTCTACGAGAGAAAATGAGTGCAGTAAGGAGAGACCTGCCAACACTGTCTCCAAATAGTCCTCAAACAAACAAAACTAAAATAATCGCAACAAACTGGAATGCCTTGATAAGCATAGAGCAAGACTCTGGCTGTTGACCTTGCATGTATCAGTTTAAAGATGACTTTAAATCTTCAACACATGAAATCTTGAAATCTTCACACACTATTGATATCCGTATTCCTTCAAGTATTCACTACCAGTTACATCACCTTGAACTCTTACTATTTGATTGATTTTACGAGCTCTATTACTTACTTGAAAGTGGCAGTCTTACTACTTGACCGAAGTCTGGAAACACTTAGCATCACTGGCACATCCAATTTTAATAAAGTGATACCCAACATGATATAACAAAGACTAAACAGCAGATATTGTACCATGTCATAAGTTCTCCAAATGTAAGAAGGGAGCTCTGTATTTGAGAATGAATATAAACAGCAAGTGAAGATAATGTATGTTAAGTTAAAAACCTTTATTTTATCGGTCATCTAAGCAAAATTTCTAATTTGAAATGCTCGGCTGGTCATAATGATATCTAATGATGTTTGTCATGGACCTGATGACTATGATAAAAAAGAATGAAGCACCCTTTTCACCTCTCAGCAAAGACAAAAAACAACCCCCCCCCCCCC